ATACAGTTTTTACATTTCTTATATACTTGCCTTCCATCTAGATTTGTTTTTATTATGGCTACACTTGATCCTTCAGTGATAGATTCTTGCTAAAACAAAAAAGTGAACTCAGCATCAGTATTCAGAAATGGCTTTATTTGATGTGACTCTTAAATGATATCTAAGTATCAAGTTCTAGGTTGACAGTTTTTCTCCACTCTTCCAACCCTTTGTCATTTCCTCACAGTAAATCTTGTATTATTTTTATTTTTTCCTTGGTGTGAGCTTTTAATTTGGAACTCATGACTTCAGTTTGGGGAAATTCTCAGGCATTGTGTCTTTGCTTTTCTACTAATACCACTGCTCTCTGCTTTGTAAAAGTCTGTTAGGTGTGAAGCTCCTCAGTTAACCATGTGTGTTCTAACCTCTTGCACACCGTTCATCTCTTTTTTGGTCTTTATTGCACTCTAGGTTAAGTCCTATGTAGTCTGACAGTATAATTTCTTCTACTGCTCTTTTTCTGGAGTTTATGCTTTTGAGTTTTTTATTTCAATGAACTGCTTTTTCCAGAATTTTAATTTAAAAAATGAGCTACTGCTTTTTTCTTCATGCCTATTTTGTTTCAGAATCTCTTACATTTTTATAAATCAAAGACATTTTAATATAAAACATGTATATGCATAGTATCTGTATATTATATATATATATATGATTTGAATGAGAATAACAAACCATTGTAGTTACTATCCAGCTTAAGAAATATTTGCTAATTGCTTCATTTCTCCCAGTCAAATCACCCTACTTCAGAACTTCACCCAAAAATAACCTGTCTTGATTTTACATTTACTATTTCTTTGTTTTATATAATATGTTTATCACTTACATGCATCTTTAAACTTTATTTAGAATAACTATAACATTCTTTTTTGGTCCAACATTATGTTTGTGAGCTTTATCCAAGTTGTTGTGCATAGCCATGGTGCATTTGTTCTCACTGCCACATACTGTTTTGTCATCTACCACAATGTGTTTATCCTCCTGATGATGGATATTTGGGATTTTTGTTTTGTTTTTAATTAATTTTACTTAGTATATTTTTCGACATCCTTTTATTTTCATATTTCTATGTCCTTGGATTTTAAGGTGACTCTTTTGAGTATCATCCTGCTATATAAGCATTAGCTACATCTGTATTGTGTATTCTGTTATTTTAAAATCTGATTGATCAAGGATTCCCCGCTTCCCAAATTTATTTTCCTTTCATGTGACATGATAGGGGTGACAGAAAACAAAGCCTAGGGCTGTTATAGGGTAAGAGAGCAAGCAGGAGTAGCATCTCACAATCTCACAAGAAAAAAGAAACAAAAAAAAAAAGAAAAGAAAAAAGAAACAAAAAACTTAATTCACCCTTTAGAGAAAACAGATGAAGGATCATGATCATGTCGGACTCAGCACTGGGCAGGGGGAAGAAAGACTTCCTGTTTGCGCCTTGATGCATGGCCACTCCACACTGCCTGTGTATCCTGACCAGCTGTAAGCCTCTATTCTAACAGTGAAGAAAACAGTTATGCCACGGAGCTCTCAGATATGCCCCATCTCTTCAGCTGAGGAAGACAAGCTCTCCTGTTTAGTGGAAGACAGTAGAGTCTACCAGGACAGTTACTCTTCAGAACTCTTAGGATCTGGAACAAATTTATAAGCCTCTATCTGGGATTCAACAAATCCCTCTGGGGCTCTTGAGCCCCAAAGATAGCAACTGATGACATACTGATGTGATACCTTCCAGCTTATCCTATGGAGAGTGAAGCTGTTCATCTTCATTTACCTAGAAAGGTTTCTGGCTTGTAGCTAACCAAAGTTCCCTGCCCTTTTGAGATTGCTGTGGGTCAGCCATATTCATTTAAAATAACTTTCATGCTGAAATTCAGGACCATACAGCCAACTCTGTCCTAACCCAGTCACCAAGTGTTCATGATCCACCTGCCTTCTGACCAGCCCTCAGATCAGCAGCTCTCAGTGGTGCCGAGACCTCCCCAGGGCCCTTTCTCTGCCATGCATCTGGCCACTCTGTACCCCACCTCCTTTGGGCACCCAACTCAGTAACCAGGCCAACTGCAAGCTGAGGGAGCCTCCAGTGTGTGACAGACATTTTATTTGGCCGTGGTTCTCACCCTCTTGGTCCAGCCTAGATTAGCAAAGCCTGCTGTGCCTTGGAGAGTATGGCAAGAGACCTTGGCCTCTGCATTCCCTCAGCCAACCTAACTCACTTCACCTTCCACATCAACAGCCCGCTCAGAGGTTGAAGTACCTTGTAGGTGGTCTGTACACACCCCCAGGTCTTTGTTTCCCCTCTTTGTCATTCCTTGCAGCCTGTGGAGCCAGAAGCCTTGGGCTTCTGTTTCACACCATGCATTCCTCCTTCCTCTCTGGCCTCATGGCTAAGTATTATGGTGGAGGAGGATGAGACAACTTTAATGGTAAGCCTTTCCAAAGCAGTGTACCTCTTCCTCTGAAAAACAGATGAGCAGTTTTCAGGGAATCTGAATGTAAGGAAATATGATCAACATTAATGGTCTGTTTAATATAATTTCATATTTTGTAATGCAGAAGACACCTTAAGATCGTGTGTCTTTCTGTTGCATAACACTTGTATAAGAATTCACAGTTTATGAAATGCTTTCTCCAACCTGTCACTTGATCATAACCATGGCCCTTTGAGTTAGATGTCATTATCACCTGTCATTCATGGGTGAAGAAATTGAGCCTCTCTGATCAAGTCCTGATCACACACTCTCTGTGTCAGCCAGGTATCTTGAGCCCACATCCTCCATTTATACTGCAGTACCACACTAATTCCAGGGCAAATATTGGTTGTTCCTAACTGTAAATGTGTACCTACTTGTTAATAAAAAGCCCTTGTGAAGACAGTGCCAGAAAAACTGCTTTGTCTAGAGTTGTAGTTTTTCACATCTAGAGTCTCATGTGCTCTGTCTGAAAGCATTAACATTTTCATTATACCTTTTGTTTTTGTTTTTGATGCAGTGTCTTTCCAGGTTTCTTTTTTTGAATAATTTACATCTAATGCAAACGTTATTTGATCATTATTCAGAGATTGGTCTCTTGATTATATTGCCTGTCTCTAATCCACTGCCTTGAAAGACTGAAAACAGTACTATGTGTTGCTTGCTTAACAGTGAATCAATTATAGGTAGAGGGTACTGTGAATTGAAATTTACTGAGTGACAGGTGTAAGTGAGAGGTCAGCACTCCTACACAATCAGAGGGTTTGGTGTGTGGCCAGAAGTGTTGAGTTTGTAACCATTAAAGTAAGCAAAGCCCAATGGCCCATGTCAGAATTATCTGCATATGCTCAGAAGTGCTGAGATTTTGCTGTCTGTAATACAACTGAACACAAGGTCTCTAAAGCAAACTTTCCATTTGCTTCCTGTGAAGAGAAAGCTATTTCCTTTCAGGCTAGAGAAGGCCCCATGGTGGAGGAAAAAGTGGTTGGTTATGGAATCAAGAGAAAACTTCATAAACGAGAGGTTCTGGCTAGTGGGACAAGCTGAGCTGTGGGTAACAGTTCCAGGATGTAAAGAAGGGTCCCTGTGTCCTTTGGTTTTTGTTTTTCCCCAGAATTTTGCATATACTTAGGACTTGTATTTTGCTTACTGTTTCTTTATCTATGTTTCTAAATTTTGCCTTATTTCATGTAGGCCTTCTATGTATATACTCTATTCTTAATCCCATCACAATTACATAGTTTAAATATTTCTCTGTTATTTATTGACTATGTACATTATTTTTAATTATTCCATATTAGAAGTAACACAAAATAAACTATATTTTTACAAAGAATTCTTTTTTTTGAGTCCTGGTTCCTAAAAATAGAATTACTGGGTCATCATCTGATTAGCCCTGTGTGTCTTATTCATATGGCCAGGTTGTTATTTGAAAAGATTATATCAATTTATAATGTCACCAACCCCACCAAGCAAGGGCTTTTATGGTCTTGTAAATTTTGTTCTTATTTTGTCAGATGAGGCATCACCGCATAGCTGTTTTATTTTGCTAAGCCAAATGTGCCAAATGTCAGTTTGCTATTTGTGTTTTTTCTGATGGGAGCTCTATTCCTATCAGCTGCACATTTGTGCTATAGAAAGTATTTACCATGTGGCCTCATGTGGTTTGTAAACTGTGTTAAATAATTTTCTAATTAGCTGAATTGTTTTAATGTATTAACTCTTAATCCATAGAAATTTATATTGGCATGTATGAAATGTCTTGCAAACCAAAAGTACATTTTACTTTAAGCTCTTAGGAGAATAGTTGTGTGCAGCCTTTGTCAGGTTTGAGCTCTCACAGGAGCAGGCAGGTATGGCCCCAGGGGATGATGAATGGGATAGAATCTGGAAACAAACCAGCAGGGAGTGGCAAGGCTCCTGCCTGTCAGGCTGAAGCTGGGAACATAGTGGCAACGCTGAAGCTGATTATGGAAAAATATTAATCCATGGTGAATTTGTCAAGTTACATCAAGAAATGGACTGAAAGCTAAAGCAAGGCAAATATGGGATGAAAATAGGCTTTTGTGATTGACCTCATTTTTACCAGCATCCTGGCCTTATCTTAAGGGAAGAGAGTGGCTAGAAGACACAGTGGACAAGTGAGTGGGTCTCAGGCATCCCTGCCACCGACTGCTGAGTCCTGTTTTTTAGCTCTGGTCGACTCATCTGCAATCAGTGTGAATTTCTGGGGTTCATGTACATTGAGAACAAGGACTCAAATCTGTTCTTTCCCCATTTGTATTTTAAAAGTAAAGCAGTTATACAGCTAACTGCTCTGTGTGTGTGTGTGTGTGTGTGTGTGTGTGTGTGTAAAACGTCATTTCACAAACTTATTTTGCCCTACAAAAATTCTATTGGTGTATTTGGTCCCAGGAACCAAAATAGTCTTGTATATTTTAATATTTTAATATATGATTTCCAATTTAAATATAATTCACTGAGATATTTTCCTTCTAGTCTTCAGAGAATATAGAGGGCAAAGATGGATCCAAAGTAACTAAACAGGAAGTAAGTATATTTACTCTTTAATATTCTCTATTTAGTTCTTTAAGTTAAAATGTTTAATATTGTTACCACTGTCTGCATCTGAATGAATTCTGTTATAAACAAGATTGCTGAGACTACATAAACCAGTGTAAGGATCTGGTATGGACACTTTGTCTAGGTAAGTTTCATTGGGGTATATTGATGAGGTATTTTCCAATTACTGTGTTGTTTATGTCTCTACCTGTTGTCCTGCTGTCTGTCAAGTAGATACTGGGAATTCCTTCTGAGCAAAGAGCAAGATAAAAGGAAAATGTACCTGGGAGAACAAAGTCTGCCTTTTATAGCAAGAAAATGAAAGGCTGTTGATTTCATAAACTTTCTGCTCCTTAGATTCCAAATGTTTAGCTAAAAGAATTCATATCTAAAGTCATGAAAGGATTCACAATATGTCAAAATATTAAGAGGTTTTTTTTGGTAATTAGGAAAATTCCTAGGATATTGGGATAACTAGGCCATGATTTAAAGATGCTTTATATTAAAATACAGAAACCTTCAAAGAGCTTAGAACTTGGAAGAGATACTATGAAGGTCTAAAAGAAGATGGTCTTAAAAAGTAGGAAATGAGATGTGTCTGTAATAACAGGGCCATTCCCTTTTCCACATAGCTTTACCCTTGAACTTATAAACTAAAAAGGGGTCATGAGAGAGACCCCCAAAAAATCCAGTGACAGACTGGGTGGTTCATATTGTGGTTAATAGTTCAGAGCAGTTTGTCAGGATACCAAAGTCCCTATACAAGATTTGTATAACAAAATTCTGTCAGACAAATGGAAAATCTTTAACAGTAATTGAAAGGAAATAATTTAAAAGTGAAACGAAACTGCTTGTTCCTCCTATGTACCTAGCATTCACTGTCTTGGGTAAATCATGATGTTTGTAATTCAAAGTCAAGCTACCACACAAATGATAGAACCAAACAAAAAATAATAATCAAGCAAAAAATGATACATGCTTGAATTTTCTTGAAAAATGGCAAGATATAATTTTTGAGACAGTTGACTAAATGGAACTAACCTTAAATGATTTTAGATTTGGGTACCAAAAAAAGCATTTGGGTTTCGCCTTGAGGACTGACATTTAAATTGATGGTCAGTCAGGAAACCTAGAAGCTATTGTGTGCAATAGATATTTGATAGCAGAAAATCTTCCCAATCCTCTGTACACTAAAAGCAAATCAAGCTGGCTATAATATATATATATAAAAGATACGTTTTTGTTTATATAGCTATCTTATGTGTACAATTTTAGGATTTTTATTACTACTAGTTTTTATTATATTTTATATTATTTACATATCTTTTGTATATTATTGACAAAAGCCTTTTCTAGACAAGACTCTAATATCATTTAAACCAACGTTTGATTAAAACTTAATGATAAGTCTTCAGGATATCAACATAGTTGTTTGAAGAGTGAAAAGTTAGCTGGTGACTTAGCATGAAGATTGTCTGAGTACATTGATTCATTGGTTGATTTTTTCCATTGAATTGAAATTTCATTCATACTGAATCTGCCAGTTATGTCATTGAGTGTTCAGAGCCTTGACCATGATGAACAGGTTGTAGTTACAAAGGGGGATCCTTTTGAAAATTCTCCACCACTGTTGTGGTATTTGAAGGGCATTGAGAAAGTACAGTACTTCAGGAGACTTGAACAATTATTAACCAAAACAATATATGACAATCATTACTCTCAATCGCCGCCTCTGCCTCCCCCCCTTTCTAGTCTATCTTCTTCTTCTTTATGCTGGGAATTGAACCCAAGGTCTTGTGCAATGCTAAGCATACAATCTACCACTGAGCTATACCCTAACCCCCAGATTCGTTCTTTAACAAAAATGTGTGAGCACCTGTAATCCACCAAGCACTATTCTAGGTCCTGTGAATCACAAGAACCACAAGAAGCAAAACTCATTTTAGTGGGTAAGGATAAGAATAAAATAAAATAAGTGGCTATATGCCATGAAGAAAAAGAAAGCAAGGAAAGGGAATAGTGTCAGAGAAGTGCTGTTATTGATAGAGAAAGGCAAATGTTCTCCCTATTTTAACTAGAGCAAATCAGGTTCTTAGAGAAGTAATATGATTTTTCCAAGTGTTGCGGGCACGATACCTGGATCTCCTGATCTACAGTCCTCAGCCTGAATGTGCCTTTTGTGGCAGTCAGAAAAATCTGGAAATCCAGTTTCCATTTCTCGGTCTTCTCTGTTGTCCAGCCAGTGCTGTTGTGTGTATCTTTCCCTACTTCTCAAGTTTGAAAAGAAGGCCATTTCTACTTCTTACTTGCTTTTAAAAGCAACTTGACTTTTGGGATTTGCTTGCAACTACATGGTCAGGCTCAGAAGCAAAAGGACATCTTGTAAAAATAAGAATACTTCCAAATTCCAGCAGAATGATCCATATGCTTGAAGGAACATTCAGCAGAGTCCTGTGATTCTATTTGAATCTAGCTGTCCCTTGAACCTTGTCACTGTGGGATTAGACTTGCATGTTGCTTCTGCAACTGGGACATTAAGTAAGAAGTGCCATGTCTTTCAGAGTAGCCTTCAGTGGAGTTTGCTCCAACATAGAGGATGATCCGTGCATCAGTAAATGCCTACTGGGTGATTTTGATGTACCTTCCATCTATAAACCACAGTGACAAACCTTTACAGTGTTATCTGTCCTTCTCATGGTGATATGTCATTCTAAAAGCCTTCCTTCTCTCCTTGAGCAGTTTTGTTTTGGGGCGGTTTTCCTGAAATTTAACACTTAAATCAACAAATCAAGAAAAAAAATTTAATATCTTTTCTTCCCCAAACTTTTACCCAGTCAGCCTGGGCCTTAAATGATTACTTTAAATCCTAGTGGTTCAAAGAGGGAAAAAAGCCGTCTGGTCTATTTCATATCCAATAAATATAGCCCTATCGTTTATAGATTTTAAGGCTGTGAAAGCTGATGGAACTTTCCAGGAAGGCGTCCACACTTGCATGCATAATCAGTACTGCTGGCTGAGTGAAAGGTTAGTCTCAGTCTTTACTGTTTGCATGAAAAGCAGATCTCTTATGGTGGTTACAGGAACGGAAATGTTGAGAAAAGTCTCTTTATGGCACAGAGACGAGTGGTAATTTTTATTAGGAAGTCATAAAATGATTTTACAGTAAAAGATTTGCTTTTTAGAGACCAGTTGGTTTAGACAGCCTGTAGAGGGAAAAGGTGAACTTTGTTTTTATATTATGCTTTTTATCTTAGAACTCTTGTACTGATCTGAATTAAGTCCTTTGACTCAAACAGCTTTCAGGCCCTGCCAAGCAGTGCAGGACTGAAATATCTCTCTGGAACTCCAAGGAGCTTGCTGAAGTCTCTTGGCCTATTCATTTGTCTAGGTGATGTCACAGAGGGGAGAGGACAGGAGCAAGAGTATTGCTGTTGAGGGGCTTTTCACATGCCTGTGCAGTCGGGGATGTAGACATGAGTCGGAGGTAATGAACAGGAATATAGAGCCTACTCACATCTGTGGACCACATCTGCATACCACATCTGCAGACTGCTGAGCAGGAGACAGCAAGATGGGGTTCCTTCACTTCTCTGTCTCTCTTATTAGTCCATGTTTGCAGTACATATCGTTTACATTCCTGAGGGAGTTGGTACATGTACATGACACAGGCTGCCACTTTTCCTCCTGGAGGGTACTATTCTGCCTGCTGCTTTTGTGAAATGTGCTAGTAGTTCTTGAGGCCACAAAGAAGTTTCAAGGCTGAGCTCTGACAATTGATGGGTCACATTTGCTCCTCCACCAACGCAATATTGAAGAAGCACAAAATTCCCACTCGTGTGGATTAAGTGATAATGCTTTTTCTTCAGTTATATGCAGCCTCTTCCTGGGGAAAGCATTCTAGGATTTGGTCCTGATTGCTAGGGACTTGTGGCTATGTCATGCTTCTCATAGGCATTGTGGTATTTCCTGTGGAGAATTCGGTACCTATCCTGCTCCCCTGCAAATCCATAGGGCTTCAGATCAAGCTGTGCACCCACTGACCATACGTCCTCCTGCTCTGGGCAAAGGTGTCCCAGTCAGCCACTTAACCCACATACTTTCCTGTTCTCAGTATATCTGCTGGCAGGCCTTAAGTCCAACTCTGATCTTTACTTGAGACCTCGAGGTTAAAATTATTCAGGGAGGCTCTGGCCCTTCATTTCCTTCTGTAGTATAAAGACATGAGTTTAACTTCTCTGTTTTCAGCGAGAAAGTTCTTAGATGTGGAGATGGAAAGAAATATTTCTTTTAGTTTGGCCTGACCAACTGACCTAGTGTGATTTCAGGGGTTTTCACAGTTCCTCACAGTCATGCCATAGGTTCCCACCTACTGGTTTTGCTGATCCTCTTAAGAAAAGATATTTGAAACATTTAAGCTGTTGTAACAAGGTACAGTTTGCATAAGGCAGTAAGAATTAGACAAAAGCTTGAATTCATGTATTCAGCAAATACTGTTGTGCATGCTTTACATGTTGGATAGTACAGTATTCTACTGGAGGTAGAACAGTAAATAAAACAGACAAAAGGTATGGGATATTAATTTCTGGAGCATTTGTAAAGAACAATAATTGTAGTTTTAGCATGTGAGTCCCTTGGGCAGCCAGCTTCTGCTGGGTGGTAAGTAGAATATCAGTTTTGTGTACCATTGCTAAAGTGCCTAAAACATTTCTTCTATATTTTCTTTATAGTCTCCTTTGCTATTGAGTTATACCATCATTGAAGAAAATATTTCCTGAAAAATATCAACCTCTACATTTAATATCAATGTCTAATCTCTGTAGTTCCCTTCAGTTTTCTAAACTTTGAAATTAAAAAAGATTAATGAACCTTTTACTCTAGTTATATCTTTAAACATAAGCTTTAGTAGATAAGTGTGTTTATTTTGTTACAGGTAAAAGAAATTGTGTTAACTGCATAAAATTTTTTGTCATTCTATTCCAGCATAGCAGAAACATGGAGAACTCTGTTATGATTTCTATGTAATTATGTTTCTTCTCTTATTACTTTAGAAAAGTTAGTCCAGTTTTTAGTACATAAGAGTCCAACTGTAGACTATTTCTTAAATAACCTCAATGTTCCTGCTGTCAATATTTTGTCACAAAAGAAGATTATGGTTTAGGGTGGTGCCAAAATTCATCTTCCTTTTCTTTTCTGAGCTTCCACACCCTTAATTGGGAGAGGCTACTTATTTGAACAGTGTATGCCTCTTTAGAAACACTTTCTGCACACACCTGTGATCCCAGCTACTGAGGAGGCCGAGGCAGGAGGATTATAAGTTCTAGGCAAGGCTGGTCAACTTTGTGAGGCACTGTCTCAAAATAAAAATAAACAAATAAATCAAAAGAACTAGTAGTGTAGTGAAGTCCTGAGTTCAATTTCTAGTACTGAAAAAGAAGACCACTTTGCTTGGGGACTTGGGGTGTGTTTCACTGTGCTAATGTGGAAAAGGTGATGGGAGTCATACATTATATTCTTTCAGCAGTGTAAGGCATAACAGTTTTAAAAATCAATTTAGTTGCATATAATTACAAAAATGCATTCTTCTCCATTCCTTTTGTAGCCCACAAGACGGTCTGCCAGATTGTCCACGGTGAGTGCCTTAAGCTCTTTTGCATCACGTCTTTGCGTACATGTTCCCTTTGTCCAGACCAAAGCAGCAAAAGGAAGGTGAAGTTGGCATTTCCTTTGAGTTTATTTTCCCTTTGAAAATCTCCTGGGGTTACAATTTCTAGCAAATCTGACCCATGTTGCCTAGCAGTTCACTTGATCAGATATGTCAGTGAAAAATAGCAGCCAGCCCAGGCTACAAAAGAATATAAGGCCCAGAATGTTGCTTGCTATTGCTACACATCTGAAGGGAAGGAGATTCAATAAGCAGTGTCTTAGTCTTCATATTCTATATGTGATGTGCTGTGGTGGGCAGATTATGATTCTCTGTTTCTAACTTAGAATGTTTTATTCCAGTGTCAGATGTTCTGAAAGTTGTCTGAATCTATACGCTTTGCCAGTTTCAGACTTAGAATGTCTTTGTAAAAGACCTTTGTCATTTGGCATCTGCTTCGGTGGCCCATGTCCAGGGAAGAGATGAAAATTAGAATTAGAGCTGGGATGGACAGGTGTGGCCAAGCCTCAGCCATGACCCCACCCCAGGTGTCCCTCTCCAGCCTGGTGTGCTCTTTGCTGGCTCTTGTGCTCTTCCGAGCAGATCGCCTGACTGGTGGAGGATTTTGGTAAAATTCCTGCACCCCAGCTGGCCACTGAGAGGGACAGAGAACTTAACATCCTAGCTGACAGTGTATCTCTCCATATGAGGTATTACAGGAGCTACAAGCATGGATTCCACCCTCAGCTCCCCTTAGGTACTAGCTGTTAGGACTGTCCCCAAATTCAGAGTTGGATTGAGCTGAGTCTGGGTTGGATGAGCCAGTGTTTTGCCTGAGTTCCATGAGGAAGCCGTACCAGAGTTACCATGAAGACTTAGAATTGGTGGGGCTGTTGTGAGCATGCAGCCAGTTGAGGAAATAGTCCTTGTAAGTCAGGTGTAAACCAAAATTTAAAAGAAAGCTTTTCCTGAGCACCAGGAACCAGCAATGTAAGTCCTTTCCACTGAGGTTGTTCTGAGGTAGGATTATAGACTATAAAAATCCCCTTTCTTGGTTCCGTCAAAACGCTGACTACTGAGCCAAAGTGTAAGGTCTGTGTCACAGGAAGTAATATAAAAGGATATTATTTGCTGTAAATGGAAAACACATGTATATTAATCTAATGTGGCAGAACTTGAAATGAAAAGGTTCTTAAATCATGAAAACTTAGGAGCGATGAATACTGCCATATTTAGGAAGCTGAGTATAGATTTAGGGTGGTAAGAAGATTAGTAAAAAACATTCCTTTAGTTTTTTTTATTTGAAAGGTAATTTTTAACAGCAGATCCTCTAGAATGAAACTGTCTGTGGTTTCACTTTATGCCCTTGATGAAAACGACCAGATTCAAAATAAAGTTGAACCCTTTAGAGGCACTGGGGAGAACCATGATTTTTCTCTGCAGGAGGAGATTCTGGCCAGTATTTTCTGTTTAAAAACCAAGCTTCTAGTTCTGGGAGAGATGTGCACTTATTTTTTCCTAGCTCTTTGACAGAAATATTTGCCTTAAAATACCTACAGAGAATATTAACCAACAGTTAATACTGTGGTTATATTATAATAATGTTGTTATACTTCCCAACCTTCCAGGCGCTGCCTGGTCTCCATCGTCTGGTGACCAGGTCTGAAGTTCTGGGGACCAGGGCATAGCCACAGGGTTTGGCTGCTGCTTGTGGGATGAGAGATAGTTTCTTAAGGGCCTCTTTGGCTAATAATATCTGTAAAAAGTCTTAAACTTTAAGAGCCAGCAGTAGAAATGTTGTCACTATAATTGGGGTATTTAATTAAAAAACACTAGAGACGTATGAGCTCAGTATCTGGGTGGGCAATATTCTCACCTTCAGCTGGTGTTGGAGAGGAGGAAATGGGAAGAAGTTTGCTTAAAGAGCCTGAGATGTGCATCTGTCTTACAGGGAAGAACTTAGAAGTGGTTTTCAGCTACTTCCTAGGTGGTAGTCTTCATTACCAGATGTGCTTTGCCGGTGATTGTGCTTTGATTTCTCAACTGTGGAGAAAGCCAGTGCAGCCAAAAACCACTGAGTCTATTGGGCAGAGCCCTGAGTCATTCCTCTTGCTGCTGTGCTGTAATAAAAGGAAGTATAGAGACACCAGTGATGGAAATTTAAACCTGTTCCCAGAGCGCTGCTGAACTCTAGATCGGGGAATAACGAGTCAGCTTTTCCATCGTTCCTGCCATTTACATGCAGACACAGAATGAATAGTTATAAAATGCTGCCATCTTTATGCTGTTGCTTGATGCTGAAAATAGACTGAGGTAGTCTTTAATGCACAAAGTCAATCTCAGAATAAATGGTTGTCTTTTGCAGGCCTTTTATGTTCCTTTCGGTGCTGACAATTGTGCCTGTCAGTATTTGTATAATTCATTTAATCTTTGCAGAAACCTGCTCCACTAAAACCTGAACCTAAACCAAGAAAAACATCTACTAAGGTAAGAGACACTCCCCTCCTCCCTGTAGCTTTTTAAACAGTGAATAAATTATAATACCATCCCCAAAAATCATCCAAGAAAAGGCCGTGTTTAGTGATTTGTGTTAAAAAGTACTGACCAGGAAATGGTTACTACTATTACAGGTTTTCTTAGAAAGCATAAAGCAGTTTTATGATTTAGCAGGAATGTTTTCCATTTGGTCAGTGAGGCACAGGAAGTCGAAGCAGGTTGCCATGAGAAGCCTCGTGTCCACAGGAATGCTGGCAGTAGTTCGAGAGGGCTGGGGCTAGGCCCTGGCAGTGCTGTGGCCACCAGCATAGGGCATAGAATGGGCCTTTGGACCTCACGTAGAGGGCCATTCTGATGGTTAATGAGAAGAATTTTGTCATTTATACCAGCAAATAATACCAACCCTTAGACGATGCCACTGTTCTGATTGCTTTTTCTTGCAGTCCTCACATTGAGCCTGTTGAAGCACATTACACACAGATAACCAATTTGCCAACCAAAGTACATAATGATCAGGAGACCAACCCAACATGACTTTTCTACACTCTGCCCTCCACAGCATCATCCCCTGTTGTGAATTGTTTGAACCTGTGTATAATGTTAGCACCGATTTCAAAAGTAGAACTCACTTCTGTGACTTGGTCTTAAAATGAGGAACTTTTCCTCATCCAGCCAGTCATTTTCAAGCATTCTTGCAGCTTTCTAGCCATGCAAGCTGTGTCTGCATGTGAAGGGATCTCACTGGAGAGCAGAAGTGTAACCCCACCCACACTTCACACCTCACACCTCTGCTGGGTTTCTCCCTCTGTCTGCCACCTCATCCTCCACCACACCCACTGCCATCCTCTCCATGGCAGGTAGATGAAGGCAGTTATCACATTGTCCTGTTACATTTTTATACCCTCAGGGTAATTCACTTGGAACACAGCAAAATTCTATTCCCATTGTCCCCTGAATGCCACCACTCTGGTCATTACTGTGGTTCACCTTGTGTTTGAAGAGTCTGACTGATTTTAGCCAATATGACATGGTATCTAACATAATCTTTCCTGTGCTTTGATTTCTCTCTTAGAAAGAACCTGGAACAAAGGTTAACAGAGGTGCTAAGGGGAAGAAGGAAGAAAAGCAAGAAGCTGGAAAGGAAGGTACTACACCATCTGAAAATGGTGAAACTAAAGCTGAAGAGGTACTTTACCTAAATATCTCCCACTGATTGAATCAGTGTCTTAAAAGAAATTGCTCAATCCTTCAGCCAGTGATAGCATGTTCATAATGTCTCTTCTTATTGCCTATAATGTTATTGCAGATCCACATCTCTCGCTCAGCTGTTAATGTCTCAGCCTCCAGAAGTACCCCACCCAGCACACTGTCAGTAAAGGGGCAGATTGAAACAGTGAGAGTTAAGGGTTCAAAAAAAATTCTGCATGTGTGCAGTGACTAGAATCAGATAGTAGTGTGGTACTTTTTGTTATGAAGAGTGGGAAGTTTCAGGTAAGGCTTCTGTGTTGTTTGGAAAGCAGAAAGCAATAAATGCAGCAGAGTGTCACCATAATATATCCCTGCCTTGTCTGTTCTTTTCCCGCTGTTGAAATAGGTTGTGCAGTAGAGCTGCCAAGTAACACATATTAGAAGTGTGTGTACTGGTGGGTAGACTTTTTTTGGTTATTGTAGTTTTAGTAATAACTGTATCTTTTCTTTTTCTTTATTTTTCACAGGCACAGAAAACTGAATCTGTAGATAACGAGGGAGAATGAATTGTCACAAAAAGTTGGGGGTGATTTTATGTACCTCTTTGGGACACCTTTTAAAAGCTATTTTTACCAAGTATTTTGTAAATGCAAATTTTTTAGGACTCTACTAGTAGACAGACAAAGTATATAAGGATGAACATTTTACCCTCTCATAGTCATGCTTTTTGGAAGTTTTCATTATTATCAAGTAAAATAAATACTATCTTAATATTGGAAGCTGTGTATAAAACTGATTGAGCAGTCCATGCACTTGCTTTAAGAATTTAGTCCTGTGCATACTGTGATGTTTTTACTGTGCGTATTTGAATTTTTCATGCAATTTTTCTAGAGCAATAATCAGTGGTGCTTTTGTACCTAGGTTTTATGCAATTTTAATGAAACATGGATAGTTGTGGCCACCTGCTGACTATTTTTGGTTTAAAATAAAAGGTTTTCTTGTCTGCAAAATACCTGCCTCTTAGTATCTTTACTACATTTTAGAGTGTTTCATATTATTATTGCAGATGATGTAAAGAATTTCTGCAGGGTGTCAAACAATTATTTCTTAATTTTCTGGGCTTTAGCATTATTTTAGTAAAACATCTATGCTAGTGTAGAAAAATTGCACCCAACTCACTTTATAACAGAAGTGGCCAACAATGTACAATAAAACTTAATTAAAGGAAGTCCTTAAAAACAAGGTAAAGCTCTGCTAAAACAGAGCTAGTTAAAAAAAAATAAAAGCAAGAAAAAAAGCCCATCAGTGTGGGCTCATCTTTGCAAATGTTCCACTTTCAAAATCGTACTAAGTGATAGTCATACTAAAATGCTTTCCCATTCATACTGAAATTCTTTCTCATTCATGCTAAAATGCTCTCCCATTCATTGAGGACTTCACACCTCTGAAAAGTCTTCATCCAACATGACTACACTGTGGCTTTGCATCCCTGAGAAGGGATTTGGCAAAGATATTATTAGAGCTCCCATTTCTAGGCTAAGAAATGGGAGTATTGATAGATAGTATGTGACATACTGGAAGGGGAGAAACCAGGCATGAGCTTTCTGAACTTTAAATAGTGTCCTGCACTCTGTAGAAGGATATAGCAATGCCAGAAACAGAGAAATTATTCTATAAATGTAATCTTTTGTTGTTTGTGTTCTTCAGAAGGTTGGTAAACTGTGAGCTTGCCAGGAAAGCTGAATTTCCTGGATTCTGCTTAGATGAAGACTAGTATCTTTTCAGGCATAAAGAACTGTTCAGGGATTACTGCAAAAAAAAACAAAAAAGGCTGCTGTTCATCAAAAGGGCCTTCGATGCTTTTATGTCATGGTTGTCAACAAAACAAGGTCTTTCCTCCAGTGCATATTTTGGGGCCAAGAACTTAAACATATATCATTGCCCTATGTCTGTCATTAGTTAGTTATAGATATCAGCTGTATCGAGTTCAAAATAATCTTATCTCTAGTTGCCTGGGCTTCTATGCAGTGACCGTAATTCATGAGTTTTGAATATGCTGAAAACCATTTGCACTTCAAAGAAAAATATCTGGTATCCTGAGAACACTTTATTAAACATACGTTCAACATGCTGTTAATACAATGGAAATACAAGTGAGGATTGGAAAATAGAGTGTATGTTGAAATTTTTAAAAATTATTACAGTAAAAGACATTGCCATTAATTCCCCTCAAAATACTCTCCCTCTCTTGAAGCACATTTTTCCATTGTTCTGAAGCAGTTCTGGAAGTCCTCTTTCATGAATGTCTTTACATAAAGTGTGATAAAAAATACAGCAAATGCTGTTGCCACATGCCATCTAATGGAAAAGCAGGCTCATAAAAACATTAAGGTGTGTCCTCATCCACCTTATTCACTGAATCTAGTACCTTGTAACTTCTCATTCTTCCTCAAAATCAAAATGATCTCAAGGTAGTTTTGAATTGATACAGGATATCAAGGTAGCCATGACAGCACAACTAAAGACATAAAAGAATCTTTGCAGTATCTCATTGCTGCCAGTGAAACTGCAGTAAACATGCTTATACACAAAACTTTGCCTGCTTATGTATTTCGGCTCAACAAGCAATGTCCTAGAAATGGAATGTCTAAATCAAAAGAAATGTACATTTGACATTTTTGACTACTGCCAAAAAAGTCATACCAGTTTCCTCTGCCATCAACAGCATATGAATGCTATCTTGTCCTACCTTTGCCAGCACTTTTATTTTGGCCAGTCTAGTAAATGAAATTGTTTTATTTTTACATTTATTTTATTACTAGTAAAACTGAACTTTTAAATTTAATGACCATTTGAATTTCTTCTGGGAATTTGATTTTTCTTATTTTTCTATTGGAGAATCAGTATATTTAAAATAATTATAATGACCATTCGTAGTGTTACTTTTCAAACACAGCGAACAGAAATTTTGTGTAGGCCATTGATTAGTATATGTCTGTGTAAGTATATGGGTATTTTTGTCATATTGACAATGTGTATGAATATGGTAGAGCTGACAGCTGCCCCAAATTGCCTAGGACTCTCAAATTGGTTCCCCAGAACTTAACACCTGATGAATACAGTGCCAAAGGTAGGACACACTCCCCACTACCACATGGAAGATGAATACCCTTTCCCTGCCCCATAGCTACACCTTTGGTGAATTTAGAGTTTATCCAAGACACCATCTGCTAATCTGGAAGATCATAACCCTGTGAATCCACAATAACTATGTCAAATGGCATCCTATGTGGTTGAGCTGCGATTGTACGATCATAAGTGGTGGTCTGCATATCTAAAATTCTACCTGGAGGGTGTCCAATGGATTTTTTTTTTTTTTTTTGGTACCGGGGATCAAACTCGGGGACCTTGAGCTTGTGAGGCAGGTGGCAGAACCACTGAGCTAAATCCCCGGCCCTTCCAATGGATTTTAAAGGAATGGGCTTTAAGAGGCACATGGCCCTGAAATTCCCAATTATAAGTCTTGTGATAAAATAATCTGAACCAAAAGTCAAAATGAGCCAAAGGTCTGGTCTAACATCAAACCATGTCTTAAGCTCTTGAATATACATTTACATAATTAATAAATTTTTAGAAAGGTATGAAATGAAGGTTTCTTTCTGTTTCCAAATTTTAGGAGACTTCTCTTGACTAGAGGTACAAGTATTATCCTTTATGTTGTCAACTGAACAGGCTTAGAAAAGCTACCTCGGCACTTACTGTCACATGTTAATGTGTCTCTTCTTTTAATATATTTCTCTTAATCATGAATTCCAAACTTTTATTATTTTGTTATTTTATTCAGAACAGTGATTTTTAAATCTCAGGATAATTATAATGATTACTATAATAATAGCTAGAAGTTATTTAATGCACTTTACATAAGCTATCAATTTAGGAGATAATTTATGAATAATTATTTTAATATTTCATTCCTGTCCCCTAGTAAAAATAATTTTTCAACACCAAATAGAGGCTCTGACTCACTTAAAACTAGAAAAAGAACTTTGTGTTTATTCATCTCACCCTCTTGGGAGGAAAGAAAATCTGAAAGTCTAGTTTTGAAATTATATTTACATGTAAAGTTTCATTCCCTTGAATTTGGCAATGATTTCTTGGGTGTAACACCAAAAGCAAAAGAAGCTAAATAAAAGATAAGTTGGATGACATCAAAATAAGTAACTAAGAAAGTAAAGATACCCACAGAATGAGAGAAAATATCTTCCGGTTATATATCTGATTAGGGTCTAGAATCCAAGATCTATAAATAAATGACAACTCCCCTTAAAAATGGGCAAAGGGGCCGAGAATTTAGCTCAGTGGTTCCGCCACCTGCCTTGCAAGTGCAAGAACCTGAGTTCGATCCCCAGTACCGGAAAAAAAAAAAAAAAAATGGGCAAAGGATTTAAATGGACATTTCTCAATAACATACCAGTGATCAGTAAGCACATGAAGGGATGGTGAACATTAATCATTGGGAAATGCAGCTCAAAACCATGAGATCAGTTTACACCCACTGGGATGACAACAAGAATAATAATAGGAAAAAAACGTGTAGGGAAATTTGAGCCTTCACTCATTGTTATGGAAATGTAAAATGGTGCAGCCTTTTTGGAAAAGTTTGACAACTTAAAGAATTAAACAACTACCTTATCACCCATCAGTTCCACCCCTAGGTATATACCCAAGTGAACTGAACTTGTTCACGCAAAATTTTTACATTGGTGTTCCAAGCAGCATTTTTTATAATAGCTTAAAAGTGGGAACTGGGCTGCCCATCAACAATGTAATGAGTAGATAAACACAGTACAGTAAGTCTATATAATAAGATAGTATTGAACCATGACAATAAATGAAATTTGCTTTCGCACAGATGAACCTTGAAAACTGTGCCAAGAGAAAAAGAAACTAGGCATAGGAGTCCACATATTGTTTGTTTCCATTTATACAAATGTCCAGAATAGGCAAATCTAAAGAGACAGTAGACTTGCTAGAGGAAAAAATGGACAATGACAACTATTGGGTGCAAGGTGTCTTGGGGACGGATGATAGGAATGTTCTGCAATTAAATAATGATGCACAGCTAAATATACTAATTGACTACCAACTTGTACTGTCCACTACACAATGAAGGCTACTGAAAACAAGGTCTTAAAATCAGGAGTCCTATATATAAATCCCAGCACCATTTCTCCGTGTGAAGTGTAGGAGTAAGTGAGTCATTGTGGAATCAGCTAGTGAGTTGTCTAAAATGTCAGTCAGGTAGGAATTGGCATTTTCCCAGGTAAGGATGCATGTTTGTCGTAGGGAGTCAGCTTTGCGTCAGTGAATCTCCCTTGAACAGTACAAAAAGAAGAACTGTGCTTCACTTAAAAGGCAATATGAGCTGGGTGCATGGTGCATGCCTGTAATCCTGGGTGCTCTGGAGGCTGAGGCAAGAGGATAGCAAGTTGCCAGCCAGCCTGAGTCAGACTGTCTAAAAAGAAAAAAGGTTAGCTCAGTGTGAAGGCCCTGGGTTCAATCCCCAGTACCACTGTGACAAAAAAAGAAAAGAAACCTGGCAATAAGTCTGTGAACTGAAGCCAGATTGGTAGGATTGAGCCCGGCCTTTGTTACTTACTGACTGTATGACAGCCATGGACAGTTCACCCGCCCCTCTTACCTTTGTGCTCCCACCTGTAAATGGGAATAAAAATAGTTCTTAACTCTTAGAATGTTATGAATGTTAAACAGTACGTGTTCAGGAAGTATCAATTTTAGTCAAAATGAGGAGGGGATGAGAGTTTGGCTGCTGGAGAACAGGCAACATTGATCCATTCTCCCTTGTGCTGCTGGGCCCGACACAGTAGAAACGTAGTAAACACTTGGACTGAACGTGGTCTTCAGGGGACAGGAAAGAACCAGGCCTGCAGTTGGTGCCACTGCTACATCCGTCCCACAATTAATTGGATGGTGTACCCCAAACATACAA